AAATGTGCTAAATCTCTGGCAACAAAAGTGAGTCCACCCCAACATGAAAATGCCCAACTTGATAAAGTGAATTTTTAATTTCCAAAAACGTCTCCACTTTAAAAGGGCCAAACTCACCTAGAATGGCCACAACCTCGTCATCCTGGATGACTTCCAGTGAACCCGACACCACGAAACAGAGGCTGTCCACGCTCTCGCCCGCGTGGTAGATGAGGTCGCCGGGCGCGCAGTGGATGGTCTGGAATTCCATAGCTAGCGCCCGCAGACACCCGTCGCTGGCCAGTCTGAAGGCCGGGTGCTCTTTGAACACCTTCCGGTTGAGATGGACGCAAATGTCCGCTCGCATGTCTTTAGGACAAATCTGCAGCACCTGAACGGCAAAAAAAAAATAAAATTAAAAAAAATTCAACACCATCATAACAGTCTGGCTATAATAGAGATTTTCAAAATGATATTATCCATTGGGTGTCATTTTCACTGCAGACAAAAGCAGATTATCTCGCCGTCCAATAACAACAACAACATTAAATTGTGCAACAGGACTGCAAACACCTGCCGGGCGCATTGTTAGGAATCGGTGCTCTGCGTTTTAAACTAATCTCTTTGAAGATGAATGTCACAGACGGATTAGGTGCCATTTTTAGAGCCTCTAGTCGTGGCATCCTCGTGGGCGCAGACAAATACGGCGTGCGTTTCGTTTGACTAACAAAACCATACAAACCACCCAATGCATACTTTCTCAGAAATCAGAAAATATCTATTTTTCTGGAATGCGGCATTATGTCTCGTCTGCAAGCAGTCCAAGCTTTAGATTTTTATGCTAATCTTGCGAAGATAAACTCTCGCGCGTCTGTGACGACTATTCAGCTTTGTTGCACACTCAATGCTGTCGACAGAGTGTTTTCTAGCTTCGCAGCCAGTATGCATTCAAGCTTAAAGAGAACCGACACACCGCAGAAATGACACAAGCCGGCACGGCACGGCCGCGTACCTTTTCGGTGTCGATGCCCCGCGACATGGACCAGGTAGACGCGATGTAGTCCATCACTCGTTCGCTCAAGCCCTTGGGCACCTGGTAGAGCTTGAGGAAGTCCCGCACGCTATTGAGCATCTCGTGGTAGCGATTGGTGTTGGCATACATCTGCTGGAAGATGGTGGTCACGTTACCAAAGATGGTGGCGTACAGAAGAGCTGCAGGGGAAAGAAGAAGAAGTTGTATCAACACACAGGTGGGAATCGTGACGGAACGGTCGCTTTGTCAGGAATTGCAATCATGTACCCTGGGCGTGTTAAATGATGCAAAAGTGTCAAAAATTGGGTGTGGAAAATCCCAATAAACATTGTTCATAACTCATGATTAAATCAATTACTGGAATAACTATTAGATCAAGAAAATTCACAGGACAAAGATTGTTTTTTTCTTGTACTGAACATTTCTGCATTTTTTATTTTATTTTAGGGAGTGTTAAATTAACCTGAGCCGACCCTTTTGTGCTGGGTCGAATTGAGCCGCTGGTTTGAAATCAAAACAATTTGAATTGAATCACTGTTTTTGTTTAGCCAAAAATGAACCAAAAAAAAA